GAACTGCTGAAACATTGTAAATTTTTACAGGAGTACACAGCTTCATCTTTTTTCTCACAGAGCAGCTAGTGGGTTTCAACCATCTACCTTGTAGTTAGCAGCTCAATGACTAATCCACAGTGCCACCTGATTAGGTCTTTAAGAACCATTCATTAGGTCCTCAACTACAGCCGTCCACTGTATTTCAATCAATCTGTTATAGCTTTAGTTTGTAAGTGATAGATTTTTGTTTTGAGAACTTGCTCTTCGTAAAATGTATTTTCTGTACTGAAGTTTTCGTAAGTGGTCTTGCCATAATTTTTTGTTTGGGTTCCAGTTGTTCTCACTGTTGCTCATGTTCATTAGCAATTCCCTATTCTGTTTGTTCTGCATCCTGTCCCACGTTTTCCTCAGAAGCCGTGGGAACAATATCAAGGCCTCTTAGGTTAAAAAGACAATCCTTTTCCGTCTCTTTCCCTAATTGGCGCTCTCATAGCCAGGCTGGCACAATAAACTATCTCCATCAGGATAGAGAAAATGCCCCTGCTTAGGTTCCCCAAACTCAGGAGAGGTCAAGGAGACTTGCTGTCTCTACACAGTAACATTCCCTAGAATAACAGTCCGTGGGGGGGGCGGGGGGCGGGGCAGCCCAGCCTTTCCGTGGATCTGGGAATCCACGCTAGTCTTTCTCATAGTCATCCTCAGGCTCTTTACCTATATGCCAAGCTCTCGCTGGCCTTAAGTGGGAGGTGTTCTTGTCTTCTAAGACCCGAGTCCATAAACAGTTAAAACGCAACCCCACTGCCATCAAGTTAATGCTGACCCATAGCGACCCCACCTCCCCTCTGTGTGTTTCTGAGACTACAACTGTTTACCAGAGTAAAAAGCCCAGTTTTCTCCCACCGAGCTACTAGTGATTTCGAACTGCCAACCATGAAGATCGCAGCCCAACATATAACCACTGCACCACCAGGGCTCCATCCCTATCATAAACAGTTACAGTTTCAGAACCCCACAGGTAGTCCCTGGGGGTCAGCACTGCCGCGATGGCGGTGAGTTTGGGTTTGGCTTAGTTGAAGTTATACATAACCGCCATAGCCCTTAGGAGAGCTGCTTTTAAAGTTTAGTATCAGATGGCATTCCTCCTCGCTGCCACTTCTCTGAAGGAAGAATCAATGGTGGTCTATTCATTTTAAAATTCAGAAGGGCAGTATTACCCTAACACAGATGGCTGACTGAATGTTCAGCACTCGGGCTTTGGACTGTCTTAGAAGTGGTTCTTCTGGATTACTGTGTGTGGACCTCACTTCAGGTCCAAGTTCACCCGCACAGCCAGCACTTGATAAGCATCCTCACTTGGTCAAGGGCACTGTGAGAACCTGTACCGACCAGTGAGCTGCAGCAGAGAAAGTGGATCTTTCATCAGATCTCTTCTTTAAAATGGTGGGATGATTGTATGCAGCTGGCCCTATGCACAAGGAGCTAGAACTCTGCCTGAGACCTGACGGGATGAACTTGCTCCAGAGAAAAATCACAGAAAATAGCATCCAGGAATGCAGGACAAGCCATGGCTCCCCTACCCCATCACACCTACGGAGAGCCTCACAGCTGTGCAAAGAGCAACCATTCCCTTCACCCAATCAACCACATGAAGAGAGTGACAAAGAGAGAAAGATCCGTGGGGGACCTAGTCAGACTCACATCTCACCACAAAAACAAACCCAGCCTCCCATCCCACAGTATCTACATAGAACATGCAATCAGCATAGTATCTCAACAGAACGTGTAATTCACCTACCCATCTGGAGCGCTTTATAAGATGACTATAAAATCAGGCTAGGGAAATAGGTCAATCACAATAAAAACATTATATTTGGGGTTTCCATTCCCCATGTAATTGCATTAATGGGGTCTCTGCTTAGCCCTCGCTTCGCTGAAGCTGCCTGTTTCCTGTGCTATTCAAGGTTGAAGTGGAGGGTGGGGCACGAGTTGTTCTTCTCCATGGACAAGTTAAATTAGCATAATTCTTTGGAATGGTTTCAAAGATCTTTGGCTACTATTAATATTTTTCATTTTCATTATGTATATGATGTCACAAGCTATGGCAGGAAGCACATTTTGTCAATTAAATAATTAATCCCACAGCATCACCGTCTGTGGGGCTGGGGTGGGGTAGGGGTACTAACATTTGTCAGGTTCAAAGAGAATGAGAGCCTGGGAGGGCTTGTCAGGTCACCTGCTCAAGAGAAACCCAATCTGGGAGCAGACGTTCCTCACTCACTGCTCGCCTCGCCCCACTCGTCCTGCCAAACCCACTCCTCTGATCACCCCACTGTGAAGGAAACGCGCCCCCTTTCCTCCACTCCCATGCCCCCTATCATAAAGTCATACCAACTGCATTTCCTAAATATGTCTCCAGTTTGCTCATGTATCTCTATCCGCACCAAAAGCAAACAAAACAGAAGAAACAGTTGTCATCCATTTAATTCCAACTCACGGCCAGCCACCCTACGGAATCATGATGACACTGAATTGTGAGTTTTGCCTCAGACACCAGCACAGATGTGAGAAGGCAGGGGTGCGAGGGGTGACCAGCCTGAAGTCCGAGCCAAAGGATCTTAAGTTTCCCTACGATTCAAAGATCACTACCTATGAAAGGAAGACATGACTGGGGTGTTCTTCAGAAGGTGACCGTGTGGGTTGGATAGTGTCCATAACCTGTGTGCGTAGCCTGCTGAGCGTAAGCAACCAGTCCACCTTAGCGATGGTAAGCAGCGCATTCCCTCGGGAGGTTCTAATACATAAAAATATTCTGCCACAGGAATCAGGGTGAGTGGATCGTAGCACTGTCCCACCCTGTGCTTTTCCTTCCACCTCTATTCCACAACGTGTTCCTACTCCTCCATGCAGCTGCTCCCGACAAAAGGTCTGTATCTGTTCCTTCCTCAGGGCGTGGCTTCCCGGAGCTGAGCAATAGTACTGCTTGGTCCCCTAGCAAGTTCAGGCGCAGGATGTCCACAGATGGTAGCCATGGAGTCAACAACAGCCTGCCTGGATTAATGCTGCCTAGGAGGTGAAAATTCAGTTTGCTATTTTTAACCTGGTTAAGTATCCATCCGTTCTGCCAAAAACGAAATGCTTGCTTGGGGTGGAGATGAACCTTGCCCATGTATCAGGCCGCATGTGCCGCTTTGTTTTTGCCAATAGTATTCCCGAAGTAGCCCCTCCCCCCGTCCCCCACAGGGCATTAAATGGTTATTTTTGTGACAGAAAGCACAACTTCACACTGAGTTCAGATTCCATGCATTACCTAGGTTCTCTTTTTTAATTGGTGAAAAATGTACTCTGATAATGTATGTCAGCTGTGAAGACCAGATGAGGAAAAAAAATGGGGCTGAGAGTTATAATGCTCCAGCCCCCCAGTACATCCCTCAAACATGTGCTATGTGCTATCTTAGGACCTGGATGAAAAATGTTTAATTGGCTTACCTCCTTTCATAAAATATGATATCGGTAATTAATAATTCAAGGGTACTCTGGTGGCCAAGTGGCTTATGTTATGTGTTGGGTGTGTTAATCACATCAGCAGTTTGAAACCACCAGCCACATTGTGGGAGAAAGATGAGGCTCTCTACTCTTGCAAGGAGTTACAGTTTCTGATTCCACCAGGGCAGTTCTACCCTGTCCTTTGGGTCGCTATGGGTCAGAATCAAATCGATGGTAGTGGATTTTTTTATTTTGAATTAGTAACTCGTGTTTAGGGAGAAAAAGTCTCTTAGAAAAATCACATACGTTTTCTTTGATATGAACGAGTTTGGATGAGTGAGTGCTATTTCACACTAGTTAGCATGGCTTCCCACAATGCAGAAAAAAAACCCAAAGAGATTTTTTTCAAACTCTTGAGTAATTTAACATATTATTAATGTTTGTAATGTTGTCCCCACCTAATACCAGACTGCTACTCCCGTGGTCAATATCAATACGGTGATTGAAAAAGACTAAGCATCAATACAAGGAGGGCCCTTCAAACACGTCATGGGAAGATAGCATTACAAATCATGGCTGGCTTCAGTTTATTTTTTCTCAATTTGCTTCCCAATTAAATTAATGAAGGGATGATAAATTCTACATAAGTGGTGCAGTACAATACAAATGTGAGAGAATTTAATTTTTATTACTTGTAGTTGTGCCTATATTTCAGGCTGTATTAGAAAAAAAAATACAACCATGTCGCATTTAAAAGAAACCATTGTCTTAAAAGTGTGGAAATCGGTAGGTTTTGGATAGTGAAGCAAACGTTATAGATGGCTGTATTCCATCGATGGAATAGACAGGTAGGAAACCGGGTCCAAAATGTTCACTAAATGCGTGTGAATGACCATGCCTCGCTGGATCATACCATGGGAAGAAGGCATGAAGTACAGCTGTCATGTCCTAGACTGCCTGTGAAGAAGAAAGTGATGCCCCTTTCCAGTGCATAGCTTTGAATACAATAGACCCACAGCTGGAAACACACACGAAATTATCCCAAATAGCCATTCTTCCTTTCTTGAGTGGGCAAACAAGTTTCCTGAGCCAATAGTTCCTGCTGGCCATCCTAACGACAAAAACCCTCCTGCTGGTGGGCTCCTCCCCTCAGGAGACTGTAATGGATCCTTAGAAACCCGGGGGGCTTCCAGTTTTGCCTAGTGTAGACTCCTAAACCTCACACAACATGCGGAATTACTTCCACCCTGAATTTCAGCACTCGTGGCTGGGTCCAAGGTTCCTGGAGGGGGGGGGTTCCAACACTGATTGGCAGTATTGTGTGAATATCTACCATCTCTGGACCAGGAACCCTCAGGTTCCTGGAGGGGCATTCCACCACTGATTGGCAGTGTTGTGTGAATATCTAACATCTCTGGACCAGTAGGGAGGCCATCACCATCAGAATACAATCATGTCACCACAGAGGAGCAGAAGGTAACACATACACTTAGCAACATCCGCACAAGACTTGTTTGACTAGACCTAGGACCTACCTTGTCTAGTGTACTCGTCGGCTTCTCTGTGAACCAAATCCTTTACTCGGTTCCCATAGAGCAACCGTGAGGAGTCGTGATCAAAAGCTTTCAGGGTCTCACTGGAACTGTAGGACTTCTGGGTCGGAACCCTGCACTCGTCATTGTCTGCGGAGGAGTTGGTGGACCGCCGCTCTTTCTCTCGTCTGCTCTTGGTCAGGGAGCAATAAGGCCTACGTTCTTTCACATCCATACTTCATTCCTTCTGGGTGCACATCAGTCCTGCTCACTACTGCTCAGGGTTCAACGCTCATTGGTCTCTCTGTAAAGACACAAGGTTGAGCATGACGTCAGCAAAACATTCATTTACACACCGACCGCACGATGGCCTTCTCCATCAGCAGCATGCTGGGAAACAATCAGGACTGCCTGGCTAGGGAAGTGGCTTTTGGATAAGAAATTAAAATTGGCAAAATTGGTGTAAAATACGCTTATCACCGGAACCAAAGGTACATAATCTGTTTATGAGAGTTCACACTTTCTATTAAAGAGCGCGGCAGAGGCTTGTCTAACGAATTATAGCTGATTCTTCACATGAATACAACCACGATGAAGCTCAGGCTCCAATTTCAGGACAGAAGCCAGCTGAAGGTTGGCTTCGCTCTTTTGTTAAATTTTTCACGGTGGAAGTGTCCTTTTGCACCATTGTCTGCATTCACAAACAAATCACCTTTCCTGTGCTTACAAAAATGTATACTATTTTCCTCTCTTTTTTAATTGTCGGAGAAAATTGGGAGATCCTTGGAACTTCTTGGAACTCAAATGTTGCGTTGAATATTTTATTTTTATTTTTTTTACAAAGAGTATTTTTTCTTACAATGGCATGATTTTCATATTTTAAGAACACAGATATCTTGAATTGTTGAAAAGCCGGCCTTCCTCTCATACCTTTCTTCAAATGAATTTTCCTCTGTAAAGTATGGATGGAATCAGTACTACCCTAATATTTAAGGCAGTTTGCGCGACTAAATCAATAGTGGAGTTTTCTGCGAGTTTCACTTGCAAATGCTAGTGGCAAGAACACGTTAGAAGGAAGAAGGTGCTTTTATTTTGTTTGCTTCTCTCAGAAAAAAAGAACTCCCTGCACTGAGTTGATTCTGACCCCCAGTAACCCTACAGGATAGACTAGAACTGACCCACAGTAACCCTACAGGATAGACTAGAATTGACCGGCAGTAACCCTACAGGATAGACTAGAATTGCCCCTGTGGGTTCCTGACATTAAATTTTTACAGGACTATCAAGGCTCATCTTTCTTCCATGGAGCGGCAGGTGGTTTTGAACTGTCGACCTCACCATTAGCGATTTACTGTGTCAACCCGCCAGGTTTGCATCACCGGACTCCTTTCTTTGCTTAGCCACTCCCTTCTCCCTGGATTTGCTGAGCTGACGGTGGGAAGGGTGGGCAGAAAAGACTGCTGCCTAAGATTGGGCCTTGAGGAGGGAAGTTACCCAGAGCTAATCTGAAGGTTAATTGTTCTTCTCTGTCTTTAGTCTTTCTCATATAGTCATTCCTGTTCCTCTGACGGCTCCCGAAGGCCTTGGCATCAACCCTGAGTGATTACTCGACCCTCCTTCCCAAATTCCCTGGTAATTTGAGAGAGTTCATCACCAACTTGAAGGAAGTGACTTCCCTTGAGCATCAGGTCTTCAGGAGGACCTTAGGGTAGTGACCCCTATTCAGATTTTCCGTCTCTCCACAGTCTCCCACTCGGCATCTCCCTCCCTTCTCCACCACTCTCTATGTGACACACATCACAGCCCCCTTTCATGTGCTTCCAACTCGAAGTCTTGTTGCCAGTACTGAATCGCGCATGTCGACTCAGCTTACATCTGAGTTGTCTACAAGTCTCGATTCTTTCTGTGCAACACCTATGCAACTCGCATATCTTTGCCTGTCTCACCCCTGCGTCCTCTATTCAGCGAGGAGAGGGATGTCTAGACGCTGCACTACCATGACCCCAATTCCAGAGCCTATGCTCCCAAACATTTGGACTGCACCTCCTGCTACCTCCTCAAACAAACTACCCCTCCCTTCCCTGTATTGCCAGGATAGGGCTGTCTCGAATGGAGTGCACATTCCTTTGCTACTGAATTAATTAAGCCTTGAAAAATAGTTGTTAATCTTTTTCCTCTCTAAAGAACTCACTGCCATTAAGTTGATTCCAAATTATAGTGACCGTATAGAATCAGGTAAAACTGCGCCTTTGGGTTCCCAAGATTGAGATCCTTGTTGGGAACAGGGAGCCTTGTCTTTCTCTCTCAGCGGAACTGGGGGTTTCCAACTGCTGACCTTTCAGTTAGCAGCCCAATGTGTAACCACTATGCAGCTGGGGGTCCTTCATGGGTGGAATGTATCTTGACTTCTCTACCGTTTACTTCTTTTCCATTCATCGGTTTAAAGGGAAGAAAAAAAGTTTTTTTTCAAAGGACCTCTCCTGTCACATTACTCTCTATCAATTGTGCTACTAGCTCTTACTAGACGTGCTCTTACTCTTAAAACACAGAAGCCAAACAAAATCCCAGCTCAGTGCTATCGAGTTACTTCCAAAGCTGTAAATCCTGACCGAAGCAGACCGCTTCACTCCCCGCCTGCACAGAACAGCTGGCGAGCTGGAACTGTGGGGAGCAGCACAACTCTAAGGACACCACCAAGGCGCCTCTGAGTTAGACTAGGTCGTTTTCATTCTAAGTTTTCTCTGTCACTTTGGGTCTTCTGAATATAAAATGTATTGTCTTGACTGTACAGGTTTCATGATACAATTTTTCAATATTGCAAATGAGATAAACATGGGGTCTAAAGCATAATAAACATTTTTATAGTAATTAAGGAGGCAATTTACCCAGTCCCAGAAATTAAAATCAGTTAAATGTTAATAAGTGGCAGGTAAAGCGATACTGTTAGAAATTCCTGAGCTGTACAGGCCATCTCTAGCACTAAATATCTGAGTTGTCTGTGTCTGTAAAACAATTCTAGTATACCACAACACATCAACAAATAAGATTCGCTTGTATCATCCAAGACAAAGGCAATTTGACCCAGGAGACTCTAACCAATACAAAAGTCCTTTGCATCTCTCTTCCCCATCATTGTGGATAGTTTAAACTCTTCAAAGATTTCATTCACACTGTAGTTTTGGCAATTACTGATACACTTCCAATAGAAATCAATAAATTCAATATGACTTCACCAGGCCCTTTTCTGTGCTACCTCCTGCACTCTAGGCTGAAGACGAGAAGGTGGAAAAAAGGCAAGCTGCTTAAAGAGCACTACGCTGCTGGAGCACTCTGATGATGGCTGCATGGTCCTACGCCGGGAAGAGGGCCACTGTGTGCATAATCAGCATGAAGCACTGAATGAACAGCACACTAACTGCATCAGTAGGCGGGGCCTTTGAACAACAAGGAGAGCTGTGACACGAAGCACCCTGTTGGGGGAGTGGGCTACTCACTGGGCTGCTACCCACAGCATCAGCTGTTCGAAACTACCAGGCTCTCCATGGAAGAAAAGATGAGGATTTCTACTCTTGTGAAGTTTTGTAGTCTCACAAACCGAGACAGTTCTGCTCTGTCCGGCATGGTCACCGCGAGTTGGAATCCACTCAATGGCAGTGAGTTTGGTTTGCTTTGGGTATGACAAAGAGAGTTAACCAAAATGTTTGATTGAGCTGTCTACGGTAACTATATGGCAACAACAAGCTCAGATACCAGACACGGCACTCCCACAGAAAGCATTTTGTTGTGAAGCAAATTGTATGGCTTGGTTCCGTTTCTCCTAAGACAATGAGTGAATGAATAAGTGAATGCAGCAGCCACTCTATTCTGCACATGTGGACTCATCTTGTGTTGGAAGGGACTTGATGGCAATCCACAGCAACATTGTGATCCTGTATCCTCCGTATCATATACTGTCTTTAAATACTTTCAGATTGGCCAGAGAACTGTCCAAATCCATTGTTGTTGAGACCATCCTGAGTCATGGAGAGCCTCTAAAGAGAGCAGACTGCTGCCATGGAACACCCGAGGCCGGGCATCTTTACAGAAGCACGTGCCGTCCACCACATCTTCCTCCGTGATACCACTAACGCGGCCAAACCGCCAACCTTTTCTTTAGCGACGGGGCACTCAATTCTCTGGCCCCCAATGCTCCCGTCGCTTCCTAGTACGCCCTTACTTCTAAATAATTTTTCAGTGTATTCTTACAATGTAATCAGACTTGATTTGTGGTTTGCAGACCTTTAAACCCTTTTATGCTAATGACTACAACTTATGTGATCCACAGCAAACACGCCTGAACTCAATTGTAGCCCTAACAATTGCATGGCCTTATAGGTCTACGAAATGACTGGAAGGAGAACGGACCTCCTCATCTGAAGGACTAGATAGCCGTTGGTCAAACTCGCTCATGCTTCTGGTATTACCTGTTTTCTGTAAGAAGGATCATCCCCACATGTCGCCTTGACTATTTCCTGCATAGAATGTCCTCCTATGAGAAATGCTAATTTAGCCCCAACACATTTTAGATTAAAGACCCAAGTGAAGCTTTTTATGTAATAGTCAAGAGTTTTCCCTTTTGTGACTGACAGTTCATATTTCCTTCACCCATAAGTATTCAATAGGTGCTGTGGTGGTGTAGTGGGCGATGCGTTAAGCTGCAACCACAGGGTCAGCTGTTCAAATTCACCAGGGTCATTATGAGTCGGAATACATTTGAGGGCGATCGATTCTGTTTTTTGTTTTTTTTTAATCAGTCTTCATGATTTATTACCACTTACCTTAATAAAAGGCAGTGCCTATGGCACAGTGGTTAAAGCACTCAGTTGCTAACCAAATGGCTAGCAGTTCAAACCCACCGGCTGTTCCAGGGGCAAAAGGCAATGGTGGTCTGCTTCCGGGCAGATGTCCAGAAATGGGAAACCCTATGGGTCAGTTCCTACTCCGCCCTTGAAAGCGCCTCCGAGGTGAAACGAACTTGTGATAGTAGATTTGGGATTTCTCTAGTTTGATGTTAATAAACTAGAAAATACTACTTTCTGTTTCATAGGAATTTCCATTTCCTTTCGGGGATAGCTAGCTATCCTTCATTAATCAGGATTCAGTGGGTGCTCTGGTGGAGGAGCAGATGGTGGCCTGGGGTGCTCGCCCCAATGTCAGCAGTAGAAACGGGAAAGATGCGGCTTTCCACGGTCGTCAAGAGTGACAGTCCCAGACACTCACGGGGCACTTCTAGTCTG